TATGCTTGTTTAGTTTTGAGAAAACTTATAGATCTTCAGTTTTAGTTTTTAAAATTTATTAAAAATTTATTTTAACGATTAATTTTAAAATTTTTAATAAAATTTTAAATTTATGAAAGAATAATTTACTTAAAATGAATTTACTTTTTAAAATTTCCCAAGCACCCTCCTAATTTCCACTTATTTTCATTTATATATTTTTTATGTAATTTTTTTATAATTATTTACATAAAAATGGAAATTAACAAGGTTATTCTCCACGGTTAGGAAAACCGTTTCTTAATTTCACTGCTTTCCTTCTACGCTAAGCAGATTCAAATACAAAAAGCTATCTCCACTTGTTTTCTTTCACTGTCTTCTTGATCTTCATTGCTGCCTCACATATTTTCTTATGCAAACGATGAGATTCACCTTCAAATGGCTTCACCAATGGTTCGATCCTCTTTTCCGTTTCCCAACATGCTTTTCAGCCATTGATTTCATGTACTACTACAATTTAGTACCGCTTATCATCTAACTTTAAATTGTTTTCTGCAGATTGCATCATGTTGGTAAGATCCACTACATATTCTACTATCTGCAATTTGTCTCTCAAACCTTGTAATTGAGGAAGCGCAAGTTCTAAACCAGCTGGTATATATATTAATTTCAGTCACTATGCGTTTTATTTCTTCTCTTTTTTTTTTTCACCTTGATTTTTTCTTCTTTCAAAAGCTTGATCTTAATATAAGCTTTGCTAACTTCATCACTAAATTATTAAGCTTAGTATATAGTATATTCTTTTATTTGAATTATACTCTTTCTCCTCAGTCTTCTCCAAAGTTACAGGTTTTAGAGTGCTTTTCTTTTCTAGTTTTTACTTTAATTGTATCTTCTTTAAAAATCTTTGAAGCAACTAAAAAGTATATATTCGAGCAATTTGTGAAGAAGCTTTTGCTAGATTTATCCTTATTAAAGTCATTCTTAGTCATTTGGAGAAAATCGTAATTATTGCCTTTTTTAAATTAACTATATTTTACAATTGATTTTTGTCTCTTTTTTTAAATCTACATATGACAATATATCTTTTTTTTCAGTTGGTAGTGTCTACTCCTACTTATTTCAAGCTGAGTCATAACAAGCATATTTATTTCACAATGTATCACAAATGGATATGTTTGATTTTATGAAGTTCTTTGATGCATTTCACTATAAATAAATCTGTATATTATACCTTTGATGCATTTTTTTAGTTGGTAGTATTTACTTAATTATGTTTTGATCTGATAATTAGATTTTCTATTTTTTTTCTCATTGTCGTTCATAGATCTAAGAGTTTTTAGGTATTTAAACTTAAAATTTCTCTAGATATGCCAGTTATTCCTTAGGTTAACTTTTGTTTCCTTTATTCCTTATCTTTTAGTTTGAAAATCAAATGAAGTTTATATAAATAAATTCCCTTAAGAATTTAATTTAATTCTCATATTCATTTAAAAA